CTGAGGAGCGATCTTTGTGGGACCCCGGAAAGCACATCTGTTTTGGCAGAAGAGTCCCCGCCAATGGAAGTGAATTGTGAACAAGCTGTTCAAAACTTACTAACCATGACAGTGTGAATGGGTCGAGATTGAGAGTGCATAGCTTAGTTATGAGATGACGGTGGCCTACGTGGTCGAAAGCTTTTGAGAAGTCCATGAAGATGGCATCAGGCTGATAAGATGAATCAAGGTTTAAGTGCAGGTCAGTTGTGAAATCGATCAACTGCGTTTCTTATGATAAGCCAGGGCGAAAACTGTGCTGCTTGCTGTAATAGAAAGAGTTATCTTCAAGATGACGGGCGATATGGGAAAATACTATGTGCTCTAATACTTTGCATGAGACGCATGTCAGTGAGATGGGGTGGTAATCAGGTGAATTTGAGCGGTTGCCTTTTTTGAATACAGGCATGGCTTTGGCTATATTCCAGTTCTCAGGAATTTTGCCCTCTAAGAGTAAATGGGTGAAAATAATGCGCAAAAAGTTGTTCGAGACAACTTTGGTACTTTTTAGACATTTGGACGGCATGTCATCTGGTCCTGGAGCACTTGACGTTTACAAGTTGTCGATGAGTTTAGAAATTCCCTGAGCGGATATAACGATCGGTGCCATACCGCTGAAACATTGACGGGGCAGTTGTGGTACATTCTGGCAGGAGTCGAGGGTAAAAACAGAAGAAAAATAGGAGTTCATAACGTTTGCTCTCTGAGCAAGAGACACATCAGTGCCATCTGGGAAGACGAGTGTTACGTTTTGCGACTGGTTTTTCGGTTTCACAATGTTCCTAATATTTTTGGTTACGCTAGAGAGTGTTCTTTAAGTCTTCATGGTTGAACGTTCTTTTAGATTTTAACAAATGACCAGTGTATTCACGCAAGCATGTTAAACATCTGTTCCACCTCACCACCAAAGGGGAAGTGCGAGCACAACAATCTAGTCTACTTTTTTGTGTGATATTGTTTTCGATACTTTTGAATACCCCGGTTTATCTGTATCACCACGAATGCGCACCATGGGGACGTGTTATCGATTAGTGTGTGTATTCGCAGTTTATAAAACAACCAGTTATCGTTGACAGATATTGAAGGCGCTGACTGGCAAAAGTACTCACAAAGTATTTCTAGGTCAGAGTTAATGGCTTAAAATTCAGCTTTGTTGTAGTCTCGGATGCATTTTTATAGGTGAACTTTTTATATTGTAAAAATAGAAAAATGTTATAACTTTGTGGTCACTTAGCTCAATGAGAAGTGAGATCGCCTGAACAAGAACAAGGTTCGAGACAAGAACTAAGTCAAATATGCTACTACCTCGAGTGGGGAGGTGAACAGTTTGAACCAGATTAAACAATAGGGTAAGCTGGAGGAAATCACTACAGAGTCAAAAAGATGTCAATTTCGTCTAGTCAGTATTGAGAAAGTTGAAGTCGCCGCAAAGTAAATATTAGGCATTAGGAAACCACTTGGTGAGGTGAGTGATTACTGAGTGAAGGCCGTCGGTGAAAGAAGGGTCGCAGTTGGGAGGATGGTAACATGCAATGAGGATGGCCGTAAAGCTGGTTCTAAGGGACAGCTTGATGCATACAATTTTTTGAGCCCTCTTGTAAACCTTCCATCGTGAACCACGTTTTGAAGAGGTCCAGATTCTAGAAAATATGGGTGTAAAAACTGCACCTGAGCTGATTGAATAATAATAAGGGGATTTGACGTCCCAAAACCACTATATGGGTATTACAGACGCTTAATCGGAGGGATGCGGAAGTTTTGACCACCTGGCGTTGCTTAACATGCACCCAAATCTGAGCACACACGTCTACAACAGTTTTGCCTCCATCAAAAAGGCAGTTGCTGCAGCCGGGATTCAATGCCGCGACCTACTGGTCAGTGTCTGAGCAACGTAGCCCATAGAACGTGAGTTCATGGATGCTTATTACGTTAAAAGAAAAGGAGAACGCTGTATCAGCGACACGTCGGTGACATTGTATGTATCGAAAAAGAGATTTTTTGATAGCTGGATAGCATAGGGCTGTGTGAAGACTGTGCATATGTGTACGTTCCATATTTATTTCTGTGTTTGCTCTCAGTCTACTTTAGTTGGAAGTTGTGTGTTTCCTTGCTCTGTGTTTGTGAAAGTTCATGACTAAACGATGCCATTGAACAGGACCACGCATAAACGGGGCGGCGACGCCATGGTGAGGTCAGGCATACAAGGAAGCTTCCACTGTAGGAGACCAGAAGAACAACAGATAACTGCAGCACGTGGGCACCGAAATTGTAGGCTAATAATGAGGGTATGGAGGCAGTCATGCAGAAGAGCCAAGAAAACTGAGATTGTCGTTAAGCGAAGCTCAAACGCGAAGTACACATTGCAAGAACGCAAGAAGTACTGCTATCGGTTACACGAACAATAGGCGATGAGGCGGGCGCTAGCACCTTGCGGAGGCGACTACAAAATTGCGTGCTCATGACCGATAATTGGGCTCGAGTGTCGATTAGTGCCAAAACAAGCACGCCACGTGCTTCCGCGTTGATGATACTTTGTCAGACAGCCAGACTCAACAGAGAATTTCCGGGGCTCGAAAGGCCAATGCAGCATCACTTCGGCAGCTAGACTCGTCAGTTTTCTCAGAAGAGACAACGATGGTACGGTGAAGGTGAGCCACTTGCAGAGGTGACCATGAATATTGCTGGTCCTGCGAGGACGGTGAGTGGTCGTAGCGTCGGGCTGAGGCCCGGGTAATAAAGTGCACAATGGAACGATGTCAGACGACTGCGACAATAGCAACAATTGTGGCCTACCCCGTTGCGGTTGAAGTATATTAGTCCGCCATCACATGTACGCCACTGGTTCGGATCACGGTATTGAGAAGAAGTCGGTGGTGGGCAATAGGAGAGAACAGGGCTGACTGCTGGACGAGGGAGAGCACATAAGTGCGGAATACCTGCGTTCGCCAGGACTTCGCGCTCGGCGGCCTGGATATATGACACTGCCGGGCGGGCCTTCTTGTAAGAACGAGCCAGCGAAGAGGATGAGGATTGTGCTTCGGTATCTCGCCGCACAAGGCACAGAAAGTTTTTAGTACAAAGTGGCTAGAACTTGACGTCGTCCAAGACTACATGGCAGCGTTGTTGAGGAGCCAGACGAATTGTTGCGTAACTCGATGGCTCTTCGCTTCTTCAACGCTTCGACACTTCCTGATGATGTCAATTGTGGAGTGGTCTTTCTATACTAGGAAGTATAGGGTTTCATGAACGATGCCTTTAAAATTGTGCCTGACTTTTTCACCTTCGGGCATGTGGTCGTCAACTTATCAGCAAAAGGCTAAAGCGTCTCGAATTCGCACTTTGTACGGCTGCCGTGGGAATTTGTGCACGGCACGAGAGTTCTTTCTGGGCTTCTACTTGGCATCAAATAGGCTTTCTGAAGAGGGCTTTCTTTTATGTCCGCACTTATCCAAACTGGTCAGCTTCTCCTCGTGCGTGTCGAACCACACACACGTCGTTCCCCTAAGGTAGTAGCCTACGCTAGTCAGCATCAAAGTTGGATCTCACCAGTTGATCACGCTGACACGCTTGCAGTCGGCCAGCCATATTTTCACGTGCACTTTAACAGTTCTACAGAAAGTGCCAGGGTCCCGCAGATGGGTCACAACGACGTGGCTGGGTTCAGGTAGCATAGCATTGATTTGATTGATATGTGGGGTTTAACGTCCCAAAACCATCATATGATTATGAGAGACGCCGTAGTGGAGGGCTCCGGAAATTTGGACCACCTGGGGTTCTTTAACGTGCACCCAAATCTGAGCACACGGGCCTACACCATTTCCGCCTCCATCGGAGGGTAGCATAGCAGGGCGTGCATCTGTTGATATCATGAATTATCCAAGAAGACACCCGCTGTGACGCTCCATGATCAGTGTCGGAGGCACCCAGCAACACCAGAAAGATCTTGCGGGGAGCCGACAAAAAAAGGGTGCATTTATTGTGATTCCAGAAGCAAAATCTTAGAGGCTACAACAGCCATTACTGCGTGTACAGAAGACAACCCGTTTTCTACTTCCTCGGCTTGTAGGTTAGCGGCCCATAACAATATAAAAGAATCAAATAGAATGGCCACGAAGTGACGGTAGTATGCCAATGACAACGAGTAGACGCAAGTAGATAATACTCAAGAAAGCAAAAGACAACTGCGGTGACGAAAACACCCTTAAGCGACGGAAGACCTGCGCCAACGACGACGTACCTGTCTTGTGTCTGTGGCTGCCTGCGGCTTAAAGCGAGCCTATCTTCTCCTAATATCTACGAAGCCACAACCTAGCATCCCCTGTCTCAATCCACACAACGACATAAAAGGCACATAAAAACAACCTCCATCACTTTACCAAAATCTGCAATCTACCTAGAAGCAACCAGATTAGTCTCCAGACGCGTGCAGTTTTCCTGTTTTAAGGCAGCCGCAGCTTTTTGAAAGTTTTGCTCGCCTGTTTTGTTCCCACAGTTTCATCTTATTAGGTATTGGACAGAATAAAATCAGATGTCCAAGTGCAGCCACTCGAAAGTCTTGTGGGCTCCTGCATAAAAGAGCTTTAACTACTATGCTGCCTATGAGTGACTGACAGATCGACACTAATAAATTTATGATGATATATCAAATAAATTGATAGCTCTTTGAATTTAATTTAAAATTTATGCTTTGCAACCAATATCTGTTACGTTTACTACCATTTAGAGATATATCTTTAGAAATATTACTGCGTTATATCATCTCTGCTTAGTTAATAGTACACTTTTGTACAACAAGTGACGTACAACTAGTTATGATAACTGTTTATTACGGCGACCTTTTTTGAAAATTTGTAGCACCTGGGAAGTTTTCTCCTTGTATAAATGCCTCAGTTTGCGCATTGAATCTACACTGTGACACGCAAATCTAGAAAGGCGCGTGCAGACAGAAACGCGGAACTTACCAAAACCAAATCGCTCGAAAACTTCGGTAACAACACCTTCCAGAAGAAATACATCCTACATCCAGGTGTGATATTCCACTCACGGCGCACTACAAAGAGAAACCTTTATGAGGACCACCTTATCGACGTGGAAGGCGAGGTACCAAACTCTGGTTTCAGTTATCATAGTAAATTGTTCATATTGATACCGTTAGCAGAGTTGTGGCGACAATATGACTCTGTGATATGCTAAGGTGCAAATGAAGTATGCTAGCTGGTGTTACAGTATGAACTGCACAGACAGCAGGAGGAAAAGTACAACTCGGAAAAGTACGGCCCCTTTAAAACTGCATTTCACTCGCACGCTGAGTGACTTACAATTGAAAACGAAGTGGCAGATTGTGAAAATTGGGGCTTCGATGGAGTGATATAAACATGTCCTAGAAACTGGTCATACCTGTAACGCTTCGGACATTATACTGGTGGCAGTGGGAAGTGGAAGCTAGATGCCAAGAGGAAATTTAACGTTTTGTATCATTGATCAGACTAAGGCATTCCTCGTCTCAGTCCTCCTTTTAGGGGTGCAGTTCTTTAAGACGTGGGTGGTGCGTCTCCTGTATGTGTACTAGCCACCTCTAGTTTTAGTCGTTGGAATATCCGCTGGATAGCCGCGCTTGTATGTGATGAATATATGATGAAAAGATGTGAGATGGTGGTACTTGGAGTGTTCACTAGAAGGACGGATAAATGGCCAGACATACAAACAGGCGGACATGCGGACAGACACAGAGACAGGCAGGCAGACCGATAGATGGATGGATGGACGAATGGATATACCGATAGACAAAAAAAAGAAGAATAGACGTACAGACAGACAGGCCGACAGGCAGATGGAACGCCCGGACGGACGGGTGGACGGGCATACATACATACATACATACATACATACATACATACATACATACATACATACATACATACATACATACATACATACATACATACATACATACATACATACATACATACATACATACATACATACATACATACATACATACATACATACATACATACATACATACATACATACATGCATACATACAGGCATACATGCATACATGCAGGCTGACCAAGGGATCCACAGGCAGACAGATAGACGAACAGACAGACAGACAGACAGATGCACGGACAGACAGATGAATGGACGTGGTCAGCGGCTGAATCATTTTTCGCCGACAAAGCCCTTGTAAGTTTCGGCCCACTCATGATCGTTCACTGTAGGATTATGCTGCAATTTTTGCTACATGTGGGTGGCATGTTTAGGCTTAGTCTTGTTAAAAAAGTCACTGTCCTGACTAAAAACTAACGCTTATGTTGAATATCTTGGTCAGACCCGATAGATGAGCCGTGATATCTATCCGCACTATATGTGTTAGTGAAAAAAATTGCCACATCTCCATGAATTGGATGATCACGAGTGAGCGAATCAGTGGGATTGTTTTGTGTTACTGTAAATTCCCCATGAAATTGTGCGCTCATTCATGTATATGAGTGACAAAGCAGTAAACAGTTAAATGCACCGTTTCTTGGTCATAAATGATATACCGTGCTGAGTGGTGGATTCCGTTTTGCCTTCAATATTACTGTTTTGTGGTCCGTAAAATGTAAAGCCGATAGTTCTCTGATCGGATCTAGCCTGAAGTAGGCAGTCGTGAGGTCTGTGCAAATAACCATAGTGATTTTGGCCGTTCAAAGTCATACGAAATGCGTCGTACAACACACCAAGAAGCCATATAATTCACAAGCCATTCGGCGTTCGCACTAAGGCGTCACTCCCCGCGCCAGCGACTCCGGGTCCGCTTGGCGTTATCGTTCTTTTGTCGCCGCTTCTAACGCCTTACGCTCGGCAGAAAGAGAAAGTTTCTTGGTCTAAAACGCGTTTAAAAACGCATTCACACCTCAGCGACTTCACGTGCATTCAACGTCATCGTCATCCGGTACAGTGCATGTGCTAACGGACATATTCTTCATCGTCGTCATCATTCTGCGTAACCTTGCGTGCGTTGAGCTGAATAAAGCACAACGCCCAACTCACAAGCATAGACTCTAAGGTGCTTTTCCCATCAAACTAGAATTCAGTGCTCGACAATTTGGTAACCTGGGCTCTTATATCGCATGCAGGAGTGGCCTGGCCTTGCATATTTACTCTTTCGTGAGCTTGCTGAGTGGTTCTAATTAATCTAATCAATCTGAACTGAACTTTAAAGACACGATGGACACCAATCTTTTTAAGGTGCTTTCAGCCCCGCACAAGTGTATCACACACCTATGCAGATCTTCGATTACAATTACTGAAACAATATTATTTAGTATTTATCTCAAGCTGCACGCGATGAAAGGAGAATTTATTAGGACAACATTGTCGGAACACGTATGCAATTAGCGAAGGTGCCTATAGATAGTGGGTGCGTTTACTGAATAAGGCGGTCAGGAAGCGTGAAAGTTCACAAGATATCTGACGTCTTTTAAAGCAATGGTGTAGAGTAGAGGTACCTTCTATTTCCACACTGCCTTTTTTGGAAGGCATGCCTATTGAAGGCATGCCTCCACGAAATAATTGTTCCGAGAGAGTTCGTTCACCATAATAATATGACTGCAAGACTCGGAATGAATGAACAACATAAGATGCCAAGATAGACATGCCTCGATGAAAAGATTGTTACGAGAGGGTTTGGTCACATCAGTAATATGAATGCAAGACTCGGGGTTAATGAACAACATGACGTGTGAAGATGGACATGCCTGCGTGTTTTTCGTGTCATTCTTCCTGCGTAGTTCAACATGTAGGCATGATGAAAAAGGCTTGAAGCGAATGTCGTAACATGCATTAGAGAAAGGTTATGCATGAAAGGATTTACATGTCATGCGTGACATCAGAGAGTGACATAAAATATTGGCTTGCTCAAAAGATGTCACGCATGATTTGACATAATCAAAAGACATGCCTGACATGCACGAAGACACTTAATTACAACTTTAAATATTATGCACATGCAGCAATCGCTAGAATAGCGAGGCGCCCTGCCTAAACGTAGCTTGCAATGTATATCACGCATTTACTTGCCATTCAGAACAAGTTATTTTAGTTGCTCTCTGAGGGAGTTTTTTATTGCAATCGTACTAAAGACATTCGCTCACCATTGTTTCCAGCAGAGTATTCCAGGTTGTACGGCTTGATGAATGTCATCAGGGAGACGCATGAAAAAAAAACCGACGCAGAAATCTATTTTTCTATTGGTATCTGGTACGATTCCTAAACTGAGAGACAAGGCCCGCCCCAACACAGTTTTCTCTCACTGCACATCTTAGCGCACCACCACCACTAGCGAGTGATATGGCTTTGAGGCTATTTTTTATCAGTAAACAGCCAAATGCGGTACGTGAGGGGAAATTCGTTAAAACCTACCAATACACCGGAAACGAGCTACACGAAGTATTTCCCTTTGTTAAAAGGTAAGGTAATCGTGGGTCACATAGAGGTTAACATACAGATGTATAGTATTCGTCCAAAAGAAAACACGCACTAATGTAGTCCAATTTGACTTTCCTTTACGCCTTCTGTAGACATCGTATACCGATATGTTCGAAGCCCTGTATTTATTTTAAATACCGCATTTGAGCAGGGTTGCAATAATGAAGGGCAGGGCTATCACACCGGGTCACGTTACACGATTTTAAATGCGAAGCATTTCTTAGTAATTTGCGGCGACTTTGAGGGTATCTATCTATCTTTCTATCTATCTATCTATCTATCTGTCTATCTATCTATCTATCTTTCTTTCTATCTATCTATCTATCTATCTATCTATCTATCCGCCTACAACTTTTAGCTCTCCTGGCTGTTCCGATAATGGTATCGTTACCAAACTTGGTATGTCATAACATGACTTATAGAGAACATATTTGACTAATCATGATATGAAAATCATGACATGTATGTCGTGAATGTCATGATTTACATTTCATGGTCCTCCAGCTTTTGCGGTGGTATCGTTCACATGGCATGTTGCAAAACTGGTATGGTACGATATGATTGCATGGCGAACACAAGCGACAGACCCTAACATGAAAAGCATGACATGCGCGTCATGTAACAACATGACTACATGCAACGCTCATGATGCGCTCGCGGGCGTTTCGCTAGCATCACATATACCAAATTTCGTATCACTGCACGTGATTGGATCATGATTGTATGATACTGGTGCAAACATGATAATCATTCGATCCGTGTCATGCAACAACCTGACTCTATGCCACGATCATGATGCCCTGGCGGCCGTTTCACTAGCTTCACTTATACGAAATTTGGTATTACGGGATGTGAATGGATGACGAAAATATGATACTGGTGCAAACATGATAAACATGAGATGCGTGTCATGTACATGCTACTCTTATGATGTGCTCACGGCCATTTCGCTAGATTCACATGTACAAACTCGGTATTATACCACGGCAACGAACGACATAGGTATATGACACATCGAAACAGGATAATCATGAACTGCGTGTCATTTAACAACATGACTACATGCCACACTCATGATGCGCTCGCGGCCCGTTTCGCTAGCCTCACATACGCCAAGTTTGGTATTACGTGACGTCAATGGATCACGCAGGGATGTGACTGATGCAAACATGATGATCATGAGATGCGTGTCATGTGAGAACAAGACGACATGCCACAGTCAAGCCGCCAATTCAGTTGAACGTGACGTGGTTCGTGTGCTCACCGGCGTTCATTTCGTCGCGTCACGCAAGCGGTGCTACGCCAGGCGCCGGTTTTGCCATATACTCGCAGGCGTGCGCCGCGCTGCGATGCTTTGACGCATGCGCGTTTTAGCGCGTCTGGCATCCCTCCGTCACGAATAGAGGGAGACGCATTGTTGTCTGAGTAACGCATCGGTGCGAATTTCGCGCCGGTTGCCATCGGGTCGCGCCGACCGCCGCTGTTCGCACCAGTCCCGCCTGGCGTCAGACTGTACAGTGCTCGCGTTTTGCTAACGTATACAGCGTCGCTGTGCCCATCGTGCGTGCGCGTCAACGGTAAATTAGAGTATACTGTGCCTTTCATGATGCGCTCACGCCGTTTCACTAGCTCCACATTTACTAAATTTGGTGTTACGTGATGTCAATGGATAGCGAAATATATGATTGGTGCAAATATGATAATCCTGACACGCGTGTCAGGTAAGAGCATGGTACCATACCACGCTGATAGCATGCTCGCGGCCGTTTCGCTAGCTGCACGTATGCTAAATTTGGAATCACATGACGTGAATAGATGACGAAGGTAAACGTACATTCAAACATGATAATCCTGACGCGGAAGTCATGTGCTGCATTATATACCTCCTAATCGCAATGCTGTGCTGATTTTAAAGTGACGGATCAACCTGTGTAATTCGTGCTTCCCATATCATCGATTCCCACTGTATACGTGGGATCTGCCATTTTTTTTGTTTGTTATAGTATTCAGTGTCTTGCTCGAGATGATATACATTTTCACCAACTTCAAAAGAGCATAATCATATAGAGATATCTCGCTTCTATTTCACATTTGCATAGTAATCAGGCAAAGCACTGCCAGCCATTAAGATCCAAGCATTCATTGCCTCTACAACGCCCTGCTAACAACACTACAAGCGAAGGGCATCAATTCGATCAGTGTACGTATAAACAAACTTCGTTATACGTAAACCTTTACCTTGTACTGAGCACTTATAAAAAAATACAATTCCTCAACGCGGCCAGAATGAATCTGGATGAATCTATGGTAAAATTGCAGGGATTGATGTTCTAGTCATGGTAAATGTAGCGACAAAAATTCTACCTGAAGCAGCCAGTATGGTAATCTACGCTAAATTACATTGTTTTATTTATATGAATATCATTCGATACTTTTATTCATTCATTTTGAAGGTGCGCCTCACAACATCGCGAGCAATAGTAATGAAGCCAGGAGGTAGGCGAGAAGTTCTGATGGGACACAAGTATTTTGGCTGCAAGGGCACACGATATTTATGCATTCTTTCAAGAACCATCGTTCGACTAGCCTCTAAAGCATTCTGAGGGGCAGAAAATTTGGTTATCTTATTCAGTACGTGAATAAAATTATAATGAAGCAGTAACGAAGTATCTTGTTTAGTTAAGCAAGGTTGGTGGCAACAGAAACATTAAGGATATCTTTCCTCAGCTACAACTTAGTATCAGTTTTTGTTTCCTTATCAATAAGCATCTAACAGTCAATTTTATTTATATGATGATGAGTATTTACAACTCCTCTATAGTGTGTCGTTTCTTTTTGTGTGCCTTCTACCGTTATCAGAACAGGGCTGTATAAAATAGTAGTTTTTTGAATATTAATATCTATGGTCACCTTCGTATACTCTCACATAATTAGTAGTATTATAGAATTAGCAATGTCGGTGAGCCCTTCAGTAATATTCAGTTTTCTTCAAAATTGCACTTACAAGAAATATATATTTATGGTATTACTCGGGACTCAGGACCTGCTACCCCACGACAAGAGCATTGTATGCCTCCGCGCTGCTCACTTCCAGTACCAAGGACACCAACAGATTCAATGAAATAAATAAAACAGCGAAAGTTCTGTGCCCCCTATATTCACCCAAATACTATTTCTTGTCATCTATCTAATCCACCGCTGGTGACCGTAACTACTATTGCACAAAATAACAAAAACGAATAAAAAACGCTTAAGACAAGTGGTTACACGGAGGGATTCGAACCCAAGTACACCGCATGCCAGCCTAGTACTCTACCGCTGAGGCGCGCTTGTACTTGGGTCACATTCAAAAACTTGCCTAAGGTAGCCTTGATGTCGGGGAAGGAATCCCCTAATTATGAGTAATGAAGCGTTTTAAAACGGTAAAGGAACAACCAGGCGTCACAAAATATAAACCGCGTAACGAGTTCAAGACATTACAAAAGCTTGTTCTTCATTACCTATTAACTGTGGCACGTACCCACTTCAGGCTTATTTCTTCATGATCTTAAACACCTAATTGCAACACAAAATTCGCACAGTATTTGTTGAAAAGGTTCAGTGGATACCAAGCTTCTCTGAAGAGTGACGAAGGATAGCGTAGTGAACACCGGCAGGCTTTACAAAAATTATGATTATTAATGGCGTAGTGAGTACCCAGCAAGTGCGTTTCTGGGATTAACCCAAAAAGATATTTTGCTTTTTTTGGGCTTCTTCATGAAAATTCAGCGACAGCAAGGCTGCGGGTCATCTGCAAGTTTCTACATGACACAAGAAGATCACCTTGCTAAGCCATTGATCAGCTCTGAATTTTTTAAAACTTTTTTTCTGACCAAGATACATTTAGTATTCCAATATTACACTGCATTGACTTAACCTACTGAAGAATAATGCATTATGAATACGCCGCAGTTATTCGAAAAATCCTAATATTTTTCTGCTTTCGCTTTTTTTACCATTGAGCAAAATATCCCCATCTTGTATAAACAAAGTAATCATAAGCCTACATATTCCTAAATTGCTCACTCACATTAACCGCCGGCTTCTTGACCAATTCCCTTTAGTGGGCAAAAGCCACAAGAGAGGATTAAGGAAGCAAGCAGGCAAGCACGTTTCGAAAAGGCTCTAAAAGGCCGTTCTTCAAGTGTTCCCTGTGACTGTTCCGCGCGTTCCACGCAGGCCTGGCCATTCTTTTCTTCACCGTTTCACGTGTGTGAAACTTTAGTTATGTACGCATGAGAGATAAGGCTGATTTGCACGTAAATATGCATTGCCATATGAAGGAATAAAACTGTTGAGTCAGTGCTTGTGCGTGAAACGTTTCTCTATTGTGGGGCGTGTTCTGTGCTTGCGCTGGCAATTTTAATTCAAAGAAATCAGATGATTTCTTTCTGCGGTCCAACTACCCTTGGTTGGACAGTTGTGCATGCGCATAAGTTTCTGCTGACGTCTCACCAAGCAAAAATCAAGTTGTTATTGCATGATAGGCACAATAATAAACAAATAAACTGTTTCAAACTTCGCCTAATATATATTCAAAAAATTGTATTAAGCGATAATACTGAACGGATGGCATAAACAAACACGCACGCACGAGCGTGCACGAGCACATGTTACGCTCATGCTAATGTGAAGTTCTTCATCAACATTCCTCGGGCAGTGCTTTGTCACCGGCTCCATTGCCTGCCGCGAGAAGGAACACTTGAGCAGTCTGTACAAATCAATGTTATTCTAAGCATGTATTTTCATCTGAAAACCTACGTAGTTCACAAAGACGGTTACTTACAAGAATGATCTTCTCGGCGACTGTTATGATTTCCGCCTAGAATAAGGATCATTGTCAAAGCTGAACAATGTAACCAACATACAGAAGTCCATTCAAACTAGTAGCAAGCGGAAGGTGAAACCAACCTTAACATAAACTGGTGCTTATAAGAGTGCACTTTGTCCGCTCTTTACGCCTGATTTTATAAGGTATGAAAGTTGCAAGTGTTGACATGTTGAACGTGGTATATGGATACAGTGAATGCTAATAACAGGCTAAGCTATTAACAAACCATACGAAAACTGCAAGTTGAATGTTAAAAAAAGATAAACTGGCTCGCAAATAAAGTTTTTCGCATCGAACAGATTTATCTACATACACCGTTTGAAAGCAGATGACAAGAGGCTCCTGATTTTGCAATCGAAAAAAGCTTCTTATGCACCACAATTTTTTATTGGCAAACGACATCTGAGGACACCGAAAATTACTGCAAGCATCATGAAGGTGCACCACTTTTCTAGAAGCCTGTGTTCGGTGCGTTTAATGAGTAATTACTACATGGACACTTATACCGGTACTTGGAGAACATGGCTATTGCTCGACCAGTTCTGACAACTTCAGGCATATGCCGTGGCACGTGATATAGGGGAATGTGCAAGACGTGCCTGAAGGACAGAGTTTAATAGCGTATTAGACGTTTTTTACGTTGTTCATGCCATTACAAGCAAGTTGAATAGATAGATAGATAGATAGATAGATAGATAGATAGATAGATAGATAGATAGATAGATAGATAGATAGATAGATAGATAGATAGATAGATAGGGAATGCTTCGACCTTAAAACCGGCTGTTTGCGGATTACGCACTCTACATAGATGTGGACGCAGCTGTACAGTACTCACGAACTGAAACGCAATATTAAGTTGTTGAATGTAACGAATGGTTATGCTCGAGATAAGCACATCATGCAGAGATGAAGCTGGTTCATGAAGATGATGTTGCTTTTGGTTTACGGATTTAAGTCCAAATTATGCCTATATTATCCAAAACATATGACGGTGAAATTTAAAGTATAGCATGTGCGTCTCTAAACCCCGATTCCCAATACTTCATTGCGTGAGTGTTTTTCATAAAGGCATTGGTGATGAGCTGAATCAAAGTGCCATACCATGAGTCAATATGTTAATTTGTCTATGACAACAAGTCGTCACTGAAGTTGGGCTCCCAGAAACGAACCCCTTTTCTGGACGAATTGTGCATATAATAGGAAAGGTCCAGGTAAAAATTTTGTATGCTGTACATAGATAGCAGCAGCCGCAGTCGTTGGCCGACGATAAGCTGATCATTGGCGGTGCCCGTTATATGTTTTACATGAATAATTGAAAATCGTAGCATTATCGCACGGGCTCGTTTTCGCTCAATACAGATCTTGTTTACTCGTGGTACGTACACTTATCAGAATACTCTAGAATAATTGAGTGATTTTTCAAATCTTGTGACGTGGTTGGTGCTGAGTGCCGGTACCAGTTTTTCGTGGATGAAACGCCATCAAATCACAAAATAAACTAATCGCATAAGGGAACATGGTAGGACAACAAGACTGATCTATTGCATTCTATCGCAAGCGGTGTAAAAAAGAAGATGTGCGGCCTTTTATCATATTTCAGAAAATATGTTGCAGGATTGCGGAAGTTACAACTCACCGGATTATGGCACATGTCCTGAGGTTGCCCCAAGCACTGAAATGATACACAGTACGTAACTGATGAAACTTTTCGAACAATTTATTATTCTAATCTGTGTGACTAATTCATTTGAATCAGCCACACAGATTCGCGCCACAATTAGAAACACGATTCACGATAACCTAACAGGTGATTTTAAGCTTATTCCTCACAAGTGGCCTTGGATCACGTATACCTGACACGTTTTACCGCAAAACTTCTTAGCACAACCGCAGATGTGTTACGGCGATCGCAATGACTCACTATGCGGTTAGTCATACCTATGTAGAAAACAGCGCGCTTCTAAACTGCTCGATGAACACTGTAGATTTCCTCTCTCGTTTAGAAATATTTTCCGTCGGCCTCATTTACATTCCGCGTACAACAGCCGCAGCAGGTCACTCTAGCTGAAACTAGCATTAGGCTTAGTGTTGTACTGCGTGTGCCACGGTCACTGTGAAGATCGTGGATATTCAGTCAGAATGAATCTAATAACCGTTAAATTGTAGTTTCGATCATAACTGACCCTTAAGGGGTCATAGTTGCACCCTCGACTACACAAATCAGAAGCTAAAGACACCGAGATAGGGCGTTGCAAAAGTTAACTGTTGCCGGGAACGCGCGGCTTTCCGCAGTACGAGCTTGAACGACTGACTGCTAGAGTAGGTTGGTCTTGATTATCAGACTAATACTACTGTGATACTTTGTTGCGAATTGTCACTTCTATTGATGCCGTTTGTGAAATACATTGACGAAGCTCGATCACACTCCAATGAAAGCATACCCACGCCAGGGCGGGCACGGGTGAGCTGGAATTTTTTTCTCGAAAATTCTCACCCTCCTCCTCTTTGCCACCCTCTCCCTAGAGCAAGCATAATGAAAACATGATGCATACGTTTTGTGCCTCCCTACACTCCTGCAGGAACTCAATTGTCGTCAGTGCTCGCCCCCCTCCCGAAGAATCCTGGCGGTGCCCCAGACAAAAGCGCTCAACTGATGATTGCTTTAGCGTACTCGCACATTCATCGCCTAACTAAAACTAAAGCTATAGATTGCCGCATTCAACCTGCAGAGAAGAGCTAGCGCAGCAAGAAAAGAAGACTAAGTTTTCGACCGCTCCTGTTTACGAGCGTCTTGCATGTTATTAAAGTGAGCTCTCATATATCCAACATCTGCTGTGTCTGCGTCGTGACACTGGTAGAGGTGCTGGGTACATGTCCAAGATAACTTCCAACAGCCCGAGATCTAGTCCACGAAGACTTCCGCTCGTCGAACCACCCGTTCACCGCACCAGCCGCTGCCTGTTAGACTTGAGCCCAGAGTTGAGTCCTTGGCCGGAAAACATGACCGCGCCCGGAAGCAGTAGCCCCGCCATCACCAGCCCAAGCACGACCGTTTTCACCCCTGAAATTGCTGTGAACTTCCACGGCAACACATATGAGGACGCAGGTGACTGGCTTGAGGAGTTAGAGCACACAGCCAACGTCAACGGGTGGAACGCCACACAGAAGTTGAGGTACGTGTATTTCCCTCTTCAGGACGGGGCTCGCACATGGTTCAAGAACCGCGTTTTGTCCACGTGGGACGAGTTCCGGCAAAAGTTCCTGGAATGCTTCGCAAACACCGAAAGGCGGGAGCATTCACAACGACTCCTCGAATCACGGATTCAAAAGCTAAAAAATCTGTTGCTATGTTTGTTCAGGACATGACTCGTCTCTTTCATTGAGCCGATCCTGATATGTCCGAAAGCAGAATGATCAGCCACGTCATGCACGGTGTTAAAGAACAGACCTTTGCTGGTCTCATGCGGAACCCACCTTCAACCGTCGAGGAATTTTTGAAGAAGGGGTCCGTCGTCGAACGCGCACTACAGCTAAGCTACCGCCAGTACGGCCACCCAAACATCAGCGGACAAATCAGCGCAACTGCCGTGACAAATGTAACACCTGACAAGCGTTCTTTGGTAATCTGATCCGCGAAATTGCGTAAGAAGAGGTAAAGCAGTTTGCCGCCACACCGAATGACTGCACGATTGCGTCGGTCACAGAAGTTGTGCGCCATGAAAAGGCAAGCGCTTTGAATTCCCAAGCCAAACATTGACATGGTTAGGCCAACCTATGCAGATATTCTCCGTCGACAGCCATATAACGTGCCGCCACCGCAGCAGTACCAACAGAAACAGCCGCCGGCAGTGCCTTGGTACTACAGGAAAACGTCGATGCCGATGCGACCTCCACTCCGCGAAACCGACATCTTGTGTACACCTGACTACTGGCCTCTTTGTGTGGAAGCAGGCTACTTCGTGTGGTAATGTCCTCATCGCGTCGCCGGGTACCAAGTATTTCCGTCCACTACCGTCGGCGCTATTTCAACGGAAGACGCAACGTTGTTACGAGCATGGCGATCCCGCGGGACGTTTCTCCTGGGTTCCGGTCACGCTCGCCCTCTCCTGGTCATTTTCCGCCATCAAATATAGGTAGCACCATGGACATGGCGAGAGCAAGATCTCCCAGTTCAAGCCGGGGAAACTAAAAACAGCCACCTTAGGGGGGAAGAATGAGAATTGACGAAGAGTTGAACGTCCCCCTTCACCGCAGCACGAAGCGCCGCACATTTCAAATGAATCGACGAAATATTAGATGTGTTGCCGCCGGCATTACACTTTCAATTGACGGTCACGACGTGACAGCACTGGTTGACACTGGTACGGACTTTTCAATAATAAGTGCGAATCTGGCCGACAAACTCAAGAAGGGGAAAATGAAATGGACGGGACCGCAAATTAGAGGAGCTAGAGGCCAGCTGCTGACGCCTACCGGAAAATACCCCGCAAGAATCAAGATCGGCGATTCATCATTCTCCGCAACCTTTTTATTCTTTCTGAGTGTTGTAAACAGGCCATCTTGGGTATGGAGTTTTTGCGGGAGTACGGTGCCATCAAATTATACCGGACGGTGTACTGACCTTCTCAGCGGACCATAGCGCAGCGCTGCAGCGCAAGTTCATGCGCGTCGTTGACGACGTGATCATATCATCTTTATCAGGCAGCCTAGTCCCTGTCACGTGTAACACGAAGCATACTGGAGAAGGTGTGGCGAAACAAGTATCGACGCTTTTACTCTCTCGAGGAATTCCTATTGCCAGAAGTCTCGTCAGTGTAGTGTCTGGGGAAGCAGAGGTCCTGCTTACAACGAGCATCGATACATTACAGAGGGTACCACAGTTGCATACTATGACGACATTGTAGAATTCCGCGAGTGCTTCGCAGTGCAACAGGCAGAGACGCCAGCCGCTTCAGCACCACCGCCTGTCGACGTGACACATAATTATCGCCAGCGCAGACGCAGAGTCTTCTAGATGTTGTCGGCCAGTTCGAACATTATTTTTCGTCGACCTCCAGGGTAAATCAAACGCCACTGACAAAGTATCGAATTACAACAGAAGAGACGGTGAAACGAGTTCGACAAAATCCATACTGCGTGGCACCGAAAGAACGTGACGCAATTCAAGAACAAGACCAGAAAATGCTCGACGACGACATCATTCAGCCGTCAAAAAGCCCTTGGACATCACCAGTAGTGCTGGTTAAGAAGAAAGACGGCAGCTTACGCTTCTGTGTGGACTACCATGAGCTGAACCGCGTGACAAAGAAAGACCTTTACCCATTACCACGTATTGACGATTCGCTTGACAGGCTAAAGCATGCACGCTTCTTCTCGTCGGTGGACCTGAAAAGCGGATATTGGCAAATTGAGGTTGATGAGTGAGACAAAGAAAGGACTGCTTTTTTAACGCCTGACGGGCTTTACGAGTGTAAAGTCTTGCCCTTCGTATTGAGCTTAGATTCAGCCACATTTCAGAGACTGATAGGTACCGTCTTATCAGGCCTTAAGTGGCAGACTGTGTATTGTATACCTCGACAACATCATTGTTTTCTCAGCAACAATCAAGGAACATCTAAGACGGCTGCTATTAGTATTTCGAGCCATACGATCCGCCCGCTGGACGCTGAAACGTGTGAAATGTCATTTCGGTTTGAACGAACTCCTATTCTTAGGGCATGGAGTGAGCCATGAAGGTGTTTGCCCCGACCTCTACAAGATTGATGCCGTCCGAAAATTTCCGGTGCCAACGAATTAAGAGGTCTGAGAACTTCTATTGACATCTGTGCCTACTACCGCAGATTTATTGTCAATTTCTCGCACATAGCGTCACTCTTAACACGTATAACGAGCGGCGACGTTCCATTTTGATGCGGCGAAGAGGAACGAGAGGGATTTGATGATCTGCGACAGCGCCTGCAGGCACAACCTGTGCTTGCTCATTTTGACGAGGAAGCTCCTACCATAATTCACACCGATGCCAACAACATATTTTTAGGTGCTGTACTCGTCCAGTGGCAAGACTCAGCTGAGCGAAAGATCGCATATGCAAGTAGGACGCTTTTCCGTGACGAGTCCCACTATTCCACAACGGAAAATTAATGTGTTGCTGTAGAATGGGCAGTTATGAAGTTTCGCCCATACCTCTACAGCTGTCTCTTCCACGTTGTCAGCGACCACCACTTCCTTTGGTGACTAACCAACTTGAAGGACCCATCTGGTCGGCTAGTGCGCTAGAACTTCCGACGACAACAACTCGATATGGCGGTCGTCTATAGGTCGGGATGGCAGCAGTCCGATGCTGATTGCTTGTCCAGGTCACCTATGAAGCAAGAAGATGTCCCAGAAGAGGATGGCATGGCGTTTTCAGGAGTGGTCAACACGGTCTTCTTTCGTCTAGGCAGGAAGAAGACAGCTAGTTGTTTCTCCCTTAATAATTTTCTTAACGAAGAGTCTACAAGCATTACCAAGATGTTTGCAATGAGCCTACCGTCATTCTGCTTGCGCATTGGTGTCTTATATAAGAAGAAATTTTCCTCCAGCGTAGTCCTCACATCCAATCGCGATGAGATTCTGAGTGCTTTCCACGATGAGCCAAGCTCTGGCCACTTCGAATGCACGCACACATTGGCCAGAATTCAACAGAAGTACTACTGGCCGAAGTTTCCAGGCACTCTAAAGCATTACGTCCGCACGTGCCTCGATTGTCAACGATGAAACTCGCCACCTTTAAAACCAGCCGGATTGTTGCAACCAGTTCAAGTGCCCACCATGCCTTTTGCACAAAGTTGGAATCGACCTCTTGGACCATTTCCGACTTCGCATACTGGAAACAACTGGGTAATTGTCGCTAACCACTATCTTACTCGCTACGCCGAAAAAAAGGCTTTATCAAGCGGAACCGCAGTAGAAGTGGCACGATTTTTCAATTAAATATAGTTCTGAGGCATGGTGATCCTAGGATTATAATAACGGAGAGAGGTACCGCTTTCACGGCCATACTTATTAAGTCAGTGCTTGAGCTTAGTGGAAAGGCGCATCAACAAACTACCTCCTACCACCCACAAAGCAACGGCTTAACAGAACGCCTCAACAAGAAAATTGCCAATATGCTGAGTATGTACATCGACGAGAATCATAAAAGTTGGACGACGTTCTGCCATACGTGACATTTGCCTATAATACGGCACAGCAGAAAACTACCCGAAGCACGTCATTTAGTCTTCTTTAAGGCCGTGAAGTGACGACAATGCTCGATGTCATGTTGCTGCACAACTGCGACGATACAGACATGGATACTCAAGCCTTTACCCAACGAGCTGAAGAGGCGCGGCAGATTCCTCACGTGCAAATCGCCCGGCAGCAGAGTTATGACGCAGAACGTTATAACCTGCGACATCAATACGTCACTTTATCAGCCAGGCGAGAAAGTGTGGATCTGGAGCCCTATTCACTGCGTTTTGCAAAAGTAACTCTAGCAGCACTTTGGTCCCTACGATTTCCTACGGCACCTAAATGATGTGAATTATGAGGTCATCTCTAACAGTTCCTCGCGAATTCGCCAGCAGAAATCAGAAATTGTACACGTTGTGCGGAGGAAGCCATATTGCTCTGATGCAGTTACATAACATATTAACTATATACACTATGTATTTTGTAGCAGAGCACTGAGACGATGCTCTTTCTGGAGGGAGGCAAAGGCCGCATTCAACCTGCAGAGAAGAGCCTGCGCAGCAAGAAAAGAAGGCTAAGTTTCTGATCGGCCCTCTTTAGGAGCGCCTTGCATGTAATTAAAATGAGCTGTCCTATATCCGACTTCTGCTGTGTATGCGTCGTAATAGTATGTGTAGCAGATAGACGAGAATACCATTATATTCCTTAAATTTTACGTTCAACATCTCGCAATTCATTATAAACTTTTACAGAAAGTGCGCCAATTCCACCTAGTTTCATTCAATATGCCCCTAATAGTTCCAGTGCGTGATAGAGACGGTACAGCGCGCCGAGTGCCTCTCAGCATGCTTTGAAACACTGGGTTACGCTGTTCGGTGTGGCCCAGTGCGTTTCAGTGCACTGGGCGACACTGGCCACACTGTACAGTGTGTCCCAGTGGCTCCCAGTGCGCTGTAGTACGCTGGGACACACTGTACAGCGTTTCCGGTGTTACTAAGCGCACTGAAACGCACTGGGAGGCACTGTAAACGCTGTTTTTTTATAGGGATGGACGAAGGAACGGATACACAGACGCGCAGATGGATGGATGGACGCATAGAAGAACGCATGGATTGGACGATAGAACGCACGGACGCACGTGCGGACGAATGGACGTACGCGCGGACGTATGCACGGGCGGACGGACGGACGCAGGGATGCACGCATGAACGCACACACGCGCGAACGAACTGACGCAAGCAAGAACAAATGGACAGTGGGAGCGCGGACGCACTGACGGATGCTTCACCCCACTCATCGTCTTTGAGTCCTCCGTGCATATGCTGGGACTTTTTTCCGGGATAAAATTGGGAAGCTTGTGCACGAAAGCCTCTACTAATTAGCTGAATCCTTCACCTAATTTTTTCGCTGAGAAACAATTTCCCGCCAAATTTATGTTAGAATTGTTTGAAAGGCAATGTGCCATTTGTGGTAAACACTTTGTTAATTATCTTAGCGATGTGGCTTAGTATTTCACAATGCTCTACCAATGTAACATTAAACTTGGCCCTACGTCTGAGACTCCCGTACAGTATACAAATCGCACATTACAAACGCACAGTTATTGTAAGTACAGAGGTGAACACATTCAGGCAAACCAGACAGCACAGTCATAATCGGTATCCTTCTGGGACAATATTGAACGTCTATCGTTCAGAGTGATATTCTTCATATGTTACTGTTTTTCTTTGTTGTGTACATGCAGTGAAAAATGGCTTCACTGATTTGAAAGATTTGTTTATGCTTTCTTTAACGCAAGAGGTCGTCTTTTTTTCTTCTGCCAGTTTTGCCCCACAATGCGTTTTAATGTGCTTGTTGTAGCAAAGCATGAATTGCCTTCGTCCACTAACGGAGCTTGACCATCGAAAGTTTGCTTACCTCGCCGAAGTGGAATATATTTGGGAAAGTAACTTGTATACATGACTCTGCAAGAAACAAGCGGGAGGCATTGTAAAATTTCAGCTATGACAAAGATATTCACAATTTCTACGAAAAAAAAAAGAATATTTGTGTTCCTTTGTTCATGTGTGCGTGAGGTGTTGTAACGTGATACCAGATATAACTCTTCTCTGCTCAAAATTCTGTCATGGAAGTTTATTCAGGGGAATTTAATGACAGTGTGGCAAAAGGCGCTGCAAGAATGAAGCAAGTTTTCAATGGACTGCCGTGTGTTTTTGAAGTAGCCTCTTGGACAAGCGTGATAATTTTATAAAATTTATAGCTGTGCACTTTCGAAACGTGGAAACTATGTGGTGCTTCGAAAGCACATTAATCAAGGACGTCAATATTGCATCTCGCACGTGCGTGAATACCCCTAAGAAGACTTCGCATAGAAGCACACATGACAGATTATATAGCCAAAACAGCCATTTAAATAGTTGCTAGGCTAGATGGAACTAGGTTTAACTGAAAATCACCAATGCCTTTTCAGAAGAAAAAATATAGCCCTGAGTATACATGAATTCCGAAAATGCTAATCAGACTGCTTTCGCATCATCTCTTAAGCACAAATAGAAGCATCTCATTACCTTCACGTGCATGAACCGGGGCAAACACAAAGCCCTTGGCCGGTTTCCTGATTTCACTAATATTGTGATAATATAAAGTAGTCGCGTTGCCATTGAGCTCACCGAACCTTGAGTGCTATATTTGTAATCGGTGAGTAACAGTCCCCTAGACTTTCTTTCCGTTCAGTTACCTTTCTAACGCGAGATCATGCAGTTTTATACATGACAAACCAGTGAACGGACAAGTACGGCTTTCATATTTCCAGTGAGCTCCAATTACCATAATAAGCATGTGCACCAGAACACAAGTATAATGGGACAAACCCTATTCACCTAACACAGTGCGTGGTGCAAAGTCTGTCCCATACATCGACTTAGTGGGGTGGGACTCTGCAATGAATCTTCGCTTCTCTTCAAGAGGAACCCTAACCGCGCTTATCTTTATCATATATTTTTAATACCAAACAAAGCTTACATGACGTATCCAAAGAAACGTTAAAACTGGAGCGGGTGCTTTTTACAATTAATTTCTGCCACTATTTTGACTTACAATAAGCTTTACCTAATAGGACTGTACTTAATGCTCGAAATATTGTCTATTGCCGTATAGGTTTTACTTCTGTATGCCATTTACGCATAATTTTAATGACGAATGACGCGCAACGCCAAGCTTCTTGTACTCCCCCTGCCTTTCCTTTACTATTTCTTCCCTTGATGCACTCAAAATAACAAGTGCAAATATGGAAATTTTTTCACAGCCGTCAAATTTGGTACGTGCATTCACATGCGCATACTGATGATGTGAATACGTTATATATAAGACGCTGCTAGTTTTAGTATACCAGAGATATAACCTCATGAAGGGGATGCAAACGAGTATATTGAAATTGATTATACTTACGATCCGCCGCAGACGCCGTTGCAATTGCCGAAACAATCAAAGCAGCAGAAAACGTTGTCTTCAGTGCAGCCATGTTGGATGTTTTCGATCTGTGCGGGTCCGCGGACGAATGGTGCTTTTAAGTATGCTCATGCAATTGTTTTCCACATATTGTACAACAGCAAATCAGAGTTCCTTCTGATCATTCCCCATGGCATGTGGCCTATGCTAAAAGATTGTTATTTTTTCCGACACGGTCCACATACTTCATATACCTGATATCAGTGAAAGTAATTAGGCCGCACGAAAAGCGTAATTAACTTTGCTAGAGAGCCCTTTTGTTCTCATCAATACACCGCGTTTTCGAAGGGCAAGCCAATGTTCCCAACTTGATACTAGCAAACATGACAGCTGCATTACCATCACTACGACGCTGACCGAACAGGTTATATAATAAACAAGCTTCGCAAATAGGTTTCGTTTTTTCCTACAGTTGCTGTGACAGTTCGTTTAATTGAATTCGACTATAACGGCAATATTCTGTCATAAGCTTTGACCCTTGTGCTTTGCCTTTGTCGGTAATTATTATGTCATGTCATGCAGCACACGTACATGCCCTTTTCGATGCAGGTACATTTTTATGCATGTACGCTATCAAGCCTATTACATGGTGTGCTATGTCACGGCAGTGTACTTTATTAGATGGACAATTGATATTAAATCCTGAAAAAAATCTGTTGAAACAAGTTAAAAACTTTATGAAGAAAAAATTTGATACGTCTCAGTCGCAATAAAAGGAATTATTAAGGAATTCGTTGGCATAACCTGATTTTCTGCACATCTGTTCTTGATGATTTTTTCGACATCTTCCTTTTTATGCGGTAACACGATTGTATGATGCTGCATATAAATCTGATTTTATGTATGCCTTTTTTCTATCATATTAGACTTCATCAGTTTTCGAATACAATTAGAGCATGTAAAAACGTCCTCCTTATCTTCCTAAGAAAGCTTTTTCGGTTGGCATTTCTTCAGATATTTTTGTATTACCTGCGTTGCCTTATAGCGCCATCACGGTTGACACCATTGAGCCTAAGGGTAACTCAGTTTACGCAAGCATTGACGTAAACATGATCTGCAGCTGTCATCCTGTGCCCAAATTTTTGGATACAAGCAGTCATCACTTGCCGAAACTGATCTGACCCGACAAATATGCACCATTTATTGTAGGCTGCGTATGTACATAACCACTCAGCTCGATTGAAGGCACATTTTTCATTATTCTCGAGAGAGGTTGGCGTGAACGGTAGGTTTCTTTTTCTGAATTTACACCCACCTCATATGCTTCTAATGACATTTCCTCCACACTAAAAGTGATTGTTTGATCAACTTAGACTTCATGGACAGATATTCATGAAAGTTGGTTAAGACTTATCTTATAAACAAAGCGAGCAATGAAAAGACAACGGATGACTGATCATTAGAGGGCACTGTTTTTTTCTTCCTTTGCCTTTGAGTGGAGTTCAGCGTTTTTAAAAGTACTTCATATTTCTCTCTTTTTGACATCCTCCAAACGGTCTTGTGGCACCTTTCTTTTACTTCCCAACCTGGCTTCTCAGATAAGCTTCTAAAGAACATTGGGCTATGGGTACTAGTGTGCAACATGATACAAGGACACAACTGTCCTCAGCAATCTGCTAATTCAAACTGCAGTCTGTGCTGAAAAGCTTGATGAGATGCCTACAAACTAATATATCGAAGTTTGTTCTTTGGAATCTTCGCTTAAGCTACTGTAACCTGTAGTACACAATATATACAGGCATGACCAAACGTGTGCAGTCCATGATATCGCATGGCAGAATGCCTGGATGTGCCATCTGCCGACGTGGTGCCTGCTGTGGGGCAAATGCCCACCCTGTCTTCATGAGGTGGCCCCTGATGTCACCTCTGTCAGACCAGGTTATGACGCTCGTAGCTGAAATGAGAACTCGGCCTCCATTTCTTTGATGCATCGAATCTATGTCATCCTTTTAGGTAGCGACTAATTTCATGTAATGAATAAACCTATTTATTCAAACTGATGGAATGAAAGGAAAAAATTTATTTCAGTCCTGCAGGACGCGCTGAGCGCGTAGCGGGCGTCTCCCACGTAGGGACCGTCCCGCCTAGGGAAGATTATTCAATGAAACTGATTGAATAAAATAATTTGAAATTCCTCATAACTTCGAATAACCCAAGGTCAAAAAGATCGTAGTTGCTTCTGACCGAGTCGAGTCTCAAAAAGGTGATATACCTAACTAATGTTTAGACAAACTATACCTATAACTTGTTAAAGTGTACGACATCACATTATGTCCACCCGAGATACTCGATTTTGCAGAATCATGAAAACGCTAGCTAAGCCTATTTAACACTAATATTATCTAATGAGAGACATGTGTGTCTTAATCAACACTTCTTAGACCTGAAAGAGGTCGTCCAGTCGGTAAGGAGTGATAAGTCTCTTCCTGGACTTGGCTTTTATGAGGTCATAAGGAATTGGACCATGATAGAACCTTTACAAAAGTCGGCACCACATGTTGAACAAAGCCAAGCACGTATTTTTTTCTGTCATGTCTTGTTCACCCACCGTAATGTGCGCAGCTGATAACAGGATCAAATTATCGCTGCGTATGTGGGTTGTGGTTGGTAGTCCGTGAGACGACCGAGAGAACGCACAGCGGTAACTTCAGAGAGTGGTGTCAGCCCCACCGCGGTTGTCTAGTGGCTAAGGTACTCGGCTGCTGAACTGCAGGTCGTGGGATCGAATCACAGCTGCGGCGGCTGTATTTCCCATAAAGGCGGAAATATTGTAGGCCCTTATTCTCAGATTTTGGCGCACATTAAAGAATCCCTGGTGGTCGAAATTTCCGGAGCCCTCCACTGCGGCGTCTCTCATAATCATACGAAAGTTTTCAGGCGTTAAACCACATGTAAAAATCATTCAGGGAGTGGTGTCACTGTGGCTCTTGCGTGACTTCTTGGGCGGCGGATGGGCTGTTCTTACCGGCAGAGCAAGACATGGCCTCCAAGAGACACTCATTGGCGTACCGTTCAAACACAGTACACGCCCTGCAGGAAGCAAGCGGTGTCAGCGCGCGCTGCAGGAAACAATAATCGTCGTCACTGGCCCAGCCCGCCAGCTCTCACGAGTGAACAAGATATGGCAGAACAGCCAAGTTACCAGACTAAATTTTCTAAATCGTCTATTAGGCTTGGCTTATTTAAGGTAAATATGCTCGGCTAAATGAAGTGATACCACGATCAACTATACCTAATTAGATTTGGATATACTTAGGTCGACTCATCTGAGCTCATCTAAGTTCAAATTCGTTTGACATAAAGATATACAGCTGAAGTAGGCTTAATTGAATTAGCCTAATTAAACCTACTTATGCTTCACTCTGTTGGATGACACCATGCTTCACTAGATTTCATAAGTTTCGGCTACAGTTATTTTGCTTAGCTAGGCTTATTTCTGTTTAACTTGGTGTGACGAAAAGACACATAGGTGTTGTTTAATGGGTGATGTTTAAGCACAAAGAACTTAAAAAGGCAAACAAATAAAAAAGGCAGCATATCCCCGGAGTGAATGATGGAGAGTGGGGCGAAGCATTCGTCCGTCCATTCGTTCTTGCTTCCGTCCGTTGATGCGTCCGTCTGTGTGACCGTCAATGCGTCCATCCGCCCGTCCGTGCGTGCGTCTCTTCGTGCGTCCGTCCCTACGTTCGTCGATGCATCCGCCCCTACGGCCGTTCATGCGTCGATCCATGCCTCTGTCTGTGTGTCCGTTCGTCCATCTATTCAACACTCCAAGTACCACTATCTCGCATCTTTTCATTATATATCTCCATATAGAAGCACCGCCATCCAGCGGACATTCAAGGACTAAACGAGATGTGACACTCGCAACTTTCTTACGGCTTGCACTTTGGGTCTACGTCCCACCTTTAACCACCTTGAGTACATGGTATATACTAGTTGACTGTATTCATGGCACTGCGGCCCAGCGCTCGCTAAACCTTCTGAAACCAAGGAGATTACGCCCAGCGATTATAACGAAGAAACCTTTTCCTGTCAGATAGTGCTCAGTGTACATGCCAATGGCTGCTAATGGGAAATGAGAGACAGGAGAATTCGACTTTCACTTTCTTACGGCTTGCGCTTCGTATCTACTTCCCACCTTTAAACACCTCGTGTTCATTCATGGTATATACTAGTTCATTGTATTCATGGCACTGCGGCTCAACGCTCGCTAAACCTTTCTAAAGCTAAGGAGGTTACACCCAGCGAGTATAACGTAGCAACCCTTTATTGTCAGATAGTGGTTAATGTACATGAGAATGGCTGATATTGGGGATCGTAGCGTGCGCGTTAACTAAAAAAAGCCGAATGCTCCTGTGTTTCATTCCCCCTTAGCAGCCATTGACATGTACATCGAGCACTATGTTTTATTGTTCAACTACGCACAGAAGAAATCTCTCACCGGCACCACCTTGGAGGTCAAAATATTATACTTGTTACACACAACAACTGCTACGAGGAACGAACGGGCGCCGCTATAAGAAGTTTCGCCCCTAAAAACCCAAGAGCACATGGTAGGTGGTGCGGGGTGTGTAAGAAGTAATAGCAAGCTACTAAGCAACGTGCGGAAAAAAGACTCGCGATGGGAAGACGAAGAAGCTACGAATGCATAATCAGATCTTTCTTCCACAGTCTAAACTTCAATCCCAGAAATTCTTAGAGAACAGATTAGCAGATTTCCTGGTGCATACACAGACACCTAATATAATAGCTACAAATGCATCCGTGAATGAGGAAAGGGCAGGCGTAAGAATAGTCTCCCATTCACTTGGCTGGTCATTTGCCGTGAAGCTACGTGATTTCACTCCGGTTTCTGAAGCCGAGCTCATGGCAGTCATTCATGGCACCGCGAAGAGTTCCGATGCATGAGAACAGGGCAATATTAAATACTGATTCACAATCAGTATGCACAGATCCCACAACTTCTAATACTTCTCGTGCCATCACGACGTTACGATCCGTAGTTTCGTCTCAGCTGAAATACCTGAAATTCGTGTGGGTTTCAGGTCACTGTGGGTTAACATTGAATGCAATGGCCGACGCTTCAGGCCGGCTCCTCGCTAGATCTCTCAATAGTTCAGGTTCTCCC